TCGCCCGTGGGCACAAGCCTTTGCTCAGCTCCACTGATCTCCTGGGAAGATTTGTGAGCAAATTTGCTCGTCTCTAGCAGAGACTGAACATTGTTACCTGTGTTTTTGCAAACTTCGGGGGGTTTTTTTCCAAGTTCTTGCAAACTTCACTTGTGTGAAGAAGGCAAAAAAATCAAACACATATGTTCTTTCATTTTATTTTTTTTTTATTTCCTATGGGAATTTTTATTTGTTGGGAAGTTTTTTGGTAAATACAAATTTTGTGCATATGTTTTCTTCATCAGAGGAATTGGAGCTGGGGATAAACAAATTATTTTTTCCTGTTAAAAAAAAAAAATAATAATCATGCCACAAAAGAAAAGGCTGGCTGCCATTGAAGCATTTTTTGATAGAAAATCTGCCTGCAGCCCTACTGCTTAATCAGTTTGGAGCAGAACGTAGTCTGTAGCTTGTTAATAAGAGCAGCTTGCTCGAGTGGTTCGCACAATGGTGAACTGCAGAGGAGGCTTGTTGCATAGCTGTGGATTTTATTTTGCAGCTCTGTTAATTAAAACATATTTTACTTTGAAGGAGGTTTTTACTGTTTTCTATGAGGGTGAGCAGAAAACTGTTCTCCTGGATAGATTAAAGGAGGGATATGAAGTAATTTTTTTAGAAGTAACAACTTAACTTTGTTTGATGGGCAAACTCTTAGCAAAAACAGTATGTAGTTTCTTATTTTTATTTGTTCTTGATCCTTGTGTACGGGCTGTTTTATGAGTCTGAATATCTTGGCTGTTTTGATAATATCGAACTAAATTTTCACATACAAGTTGCCAAACTGGAACAGAAAAGTTGTCACAGATTCTTGTTTAATTGATAGAGTAATTTTTACTTATACAAGGGTAAACTAAAATAATAAGGCCTGAAACTGTGCCATTGAACTTAATGACAAACCCTTCATAGGTTTCATATAAATCCTGTATTTTTATTATCCCAGTTCCAGCAACTTTTGTTGCAAGTTTGCAGCAAAATGTTAGGGCATTTCTAAGTGTTATTTTTATTATACAAAATCCCATTAAAATCAGTACTGAAGCATCCCATTAATTTAAATGGGACTTTGCATAGTTTGCTGAGTTCCAGGCCACAGATAAAGAAAAGTATGCAATTTGGAGTTAAACTGACCACAGCTTTTTATTAGAAGACATTTAATCTCAAACGAACAGCGCAGTCTGAGGCATAAAGTCTTTGTGAACTTCATCTGGGCGGGTGCAATAGGAGCCTCCACCATGCAGCAACTTCTGGGTTGGTCGTCTGGGACCTCTCAGGACCATATAGCGTATGACCATATAGCATTCCCAGGCAAACCCCCAGCCCAGGTAGGTATGCAAAGTGCTCCCCAGGCAGCTTTGCCTTGGAAATGCTAATAGGTAAGCCAGCACACCCAGAACAAATGGAAAACTTGATTCAGCTGTTTCTCTGGCTCCAAGTATCTGCTCGCCTTGACAAAGGCAAGGCTGTGGGCAGGGGGCTGGGGGGGGGGGGGAGGTTCTCCGCAGCACCCGAGCGGGCTGGAGCCACGTTAGGTCGAAGCGATGCAGGTTCTGAAATCCCTGCTTGAGCTTCACACCCTGGAAACCAGTTGGAGGAACGTGCAGGGCAAGGGATGGAAAACCATCGCTGCCGGTGTGCGGACACAGCCAGACGCTGGCAAGGGGTGTTCAAAATCCAAAGTGTGAAGGGAGCCGTTTTATACATGGGGACCCCCCTTTGGCAGCTTTGGGGGTTAAGGGAGCATTAAACGACAACCCCCCCTTGGCTGCCCCCAGCGTGGACACACACCTGGGCACCTCCAAGGGCATATCTCGAAGGAAGCTGTGCTTGGGCAAGATGGTCCCCAGCCATTCTTCAAACACACCAAAACTCCCAATAATTCAAGCTCTAACCATTGTGGGGGAGACCTAAAGGCTGTTGGAAGTGGGACGTCTGTAGAAGGGCACAGGGAAGGTGTAGGAGCTGCTTTCTGCTCAGCGCCTCCTTGGAATTTTATTCTTCCCTGAGCCATAAATATGTCAAGATGCCCAAATTTCTCCCAGGAGAGGCGGATCACCTTTCCCTGGTGCATTCCCAGGGCAGGGGGACACTGGTGATGGCCAGAGGACAGAAACCCAAGCAGGCTGAGTCCCTGGTCCCCAGCCGAGCTTCAAGCTGGGGATCAGGACTCCCGAAAACAACCGAAACTTGTGGGAGGGTTTGGCTAAACGTGAGCCCTGCAGTGGCTACTCTGATTTAGGACTAACAGTGCTACCTCCAGGAACAGGAGAAAATGAACACCGAAAATCCAAGCTAAAATAACAGCTGAGGGCTTGCAGATACCCTCCCAGGTGGAAACTGGAGAGGAAACCCAGTTATTTTCCTGATCTGGTGCACGGTCCTGGAGCTGGGATAAGTGGTGAAGTAGCCGAGAATACTCAGCTCCTCTCTGCTGAACCCCCCCGGGTTAAGTGCAAAGCCACTGCGCATCCCCCCAGCCCCGGGACGGGGGCTCCGCGGGCACGAACACCCCCCCACACTGCCAGGGAACGGCTCCCGGGGCTCCGCGGGGCCACGCTGCCCTGCGCGGCCGCGGAAGCCCCGCGGGGTTTAAGCGGCTCCGTAAAGAGAGCTGCAAGTCCCTCCAACCCCCCCCGCCCCACGCACACCGGAGGGCGGGTGGGGTGAGGGGGACGGGACACATCCGCGGCCGCGCAAATAACGCGTTTGGGTGGCGGGGATAGGGAGGGCAGCCCCGGTCGTGGCTTTTCCCGCCGCGGAGGAAAGTGGCGTGATCCCGCCGGCTCCGGCCTCGCCGCAGATGGTTAATTGTTTCGTTGGCTGAATTATGGCAATTTTTTCACAAAATATTAATAGTGTTCATAATAAAAAAGGGTAAAGAAAAGAGTAATGAAATCGGCGTCTTTTGTGCTTGCAACAGCTTCGGGGTGTGTGTGTGTGTGTGTGTGTGTGTAAAATAAATCGAACAATCTTTAAAATTCAGGATCTCGGCGAATTTGGAGGAGCGAGAGGAAAACGCACCTTTGCAAAACGGACAAAACGGTTCGGGAGGAAGGAGCGGTCCCAGGGCTGCGGCACGCCGGGGCGGGGTGGGGGTGTCTTCAGGGTGCGGCGATTAATTTTTTTGGGAGGAGAAAATCCCAACCCACGGCTCGAGGCGTTATGATTTCGTGGGAGCAGAAGTGCCGCCCCAAACCCGCCGCGCCGCCAAAACAGCAGCGGAGAAAAATCTGCCATAAAATTCGAAGTGGGGAGGATTCCCAGTGCCGGGGCTGCCCCTCAGGGTGGCGGGAACGGGGTCCCCTCCCCGAGAAAAGGCGCTTTTCCCCCCGCCTGGGCCAGCGACTCCCGGCCGGGTCCCTGCGGGGCGGGGAGGGGGGGACAGGGGGGACGCGACGGCGCAATCACCGCGGGGAAGCGGAGGGGCCCTCCCCAAAATGCCACCACGGGGCGGAGAGGGAGAAAGCTGCTTTTCTTCTGGTTTAGTCGATCTCTTAAACACAGCCAGAAAAGAACATTAAAGGCATTTCTAGATTTCGTTTCGGTTTGGTTTTTTTTTTTTAGTTTTTTTTTTTTTTATTCCCATGCTCTTAATTTTGAAAAAAAAAATAATCACAAAACATAACTTATAAAACAATATATATACTGCATCCTTATCCACAACAGCATAATTGAAACATCCAGCGTAACGTTTACCACAGGTGTGAAATACACTGGGAAAGAAGTACCGTGTGCATTTTATATTATGTTTCTTTGTCATCTACAGGTAATAAGTATCGACAAAAATAAGCAACAAATATGCCTGCAATTAAACTTCATATGCGTTTTGTATGCGTATTAATAAAGATCATATTTATCATTTCCATTTTTTTTTTTGCCAACAAGCACTTGTTAAAGTATCTACATTTACATAATAACACCTTAAGATAATAACACCTTAAGATCGGTTTCTTTTTTTCTTTTTCTTTTTTTTTGTTCCTTGTTTTTCCTTCACAGTTAGAAAAGCAAGGAACGCTTTCAGCTTTGCTAAGCAACCTTTCCGGACGCCGAGGCTCGCTGTTTCTCTAGCAGAGATGCAGTATCTGTATTCACTTCATAACAGACCGTTTTTCGTCTTATTTTTTTTTTTTAGACTCTCTAAAAGGAGGGTTTTTTTGTTGTTTGTTTGTTTTTTTAAAGAGAAATAAACCCCCTGCATTTAAATAAAGATGAATGATAATTTCATTATCAGGATAAGACTTTGGACGGGGAGAATGCTGAACAGTTTTCGCATCGCTGGAGGGTTTCTGTGCTCTCTCACAACCGGGGATACTGCAGTCTTTTGGAAAGGATGAAGAGGTAGGAACCTTGAGCTGCTTAGTATCAGGAATGACTGGATTATAGCTTCCAACTAAAGAAAAAACATCAAGAATCATGCATTTTAAAAACAGTTTATTCAACGGCCAAGGACAATGATCCGGCACAATGCAACGGTAGATATAAATATAACCTTATATAAGTGGTTGACCCTTGTCATTATTATTTTTAATAGTTTCATACCTAATATTTTAACCATTTTCCCGCAGAATCTACTCTGCAAATTATATTTTTTTTCCCCCTCTCCCTTTTTTTTTTTATTTTTTTTTTTTTTATTTTTTTCGAGTGTGATTCTGTTTCTCAGTGGTAAACATTAACCAAACTCTTCCCGTGCGACAAGCGGCCAAGAACCGTCCCACCAGCTCTTACCACCGCGGCGGCTCCCACCCGCGCCGCCCTCCCCGCGGGGAAGCGGCCGCCTTACCAACTCCTGTGCAAGTTCAAGTAAACACATACAACCCGCATAATCCAGAGAAAAATTGCAACTCATCCATGTACCAGATTTCGGTGTCTCTTGCAAAAGTTTTCTGGTCCGTTTACGGTTTTTGATGTTGTTTTTTTGGTTTTTTTTTTTTTTTTGAAAGCGCTGTTTTGTTGGTTGCGTTGTTGGGTTTTTTTTGTTTTTTTTTTGTTTTTTTTTTTTTTTTTTTTCTAGACAGTCGAAGTCTGTGGAGCTTTTGGTTGCTTGTTTTTGTTTTCGTTTTTTGGGGTGGTGTTTTGTGTTGGTTGTTTTGTTTTTGTTTTTTTATACCATTATTATTTTCCTCTCTCACTTGCTCGGGTTTTCCTTTCAATCAACATCGGGTTTTCATTTTTTTAGGATTTTTTTTTTTTTTCTTTCCGTCGCTTCGCTTTGTCGGCGGTATTCTGTCGGAGGTGGTTTGTGTCAAGTCCGTCAACTGTTATACTGACAAGCGTTTAGACTAGAGCCGGGGCTTTGCAAACTGCTGTAGCCGAAACTGGAGTGCTGCTTTGATTTCAGTCTGAGGCTGGCTAAGCTGGAGTTGCAAGTGTCCCGGTAGACGCTGTAGGGCGAGCCCGGTGGTCCGTAGGGACAGGCGGGCGAGGACATGGCCGAGTTGAGCGAGGAGCCGCTGATGTTGTTGATGTTGTTGAGGCCGGAGTTGGCCATTCCCGGCACGGCCGAGTGGCCCATACTGGAGGGCATGTTCATGGAGGAGATGCTACTGGGCGCCGAGAACATGGACTGCGAAGAGAGGGGGCTCATGGAGTTGAAGAAGGTGAAACTCTTGGTGGAAAGAGGCGCCGGGGTGAGGCTTTTGGTGGCCCAGTTGTTGTAGGGGTAGCCGGCGTACATGTCGTCGTAGGGCTGCATCAGCCCGCTGAACTGCGGCACGTAGCCGTTCTTGCACAGGTCCATCTGCTGGTTCCGCTCCCGCTTTCTCCACTTGGCTCGGCGGTTCTTGAACCAAACCTGCGGGGGGGGGGGGGGGGCGGGGGGGGGGGAGAAGGGAAAGGTGGGGACATGGGACCGACACGGCACGGTGAGTGCGGGACCTCCCGCCGCCGCCTTTCCCCGCCGCGCCGGGTGCAGATGCGCGCAAAGGGAGCGCAGGCAGCCCGCGGTACCCCTGCCCTGGTCAGCAACCCCAGGATGCCAGGGGAGGGGTGTGGGGAGGGGTGTGGGGGGGAGGCTGCCAAAATACCCACACACACACCTCCACAGGCTCCCCCCAACCCGCCCCCCCCCCCCCCCCCCCCCCGCTCCACGGGGTGCCTGCGCGCATATCGGCCTCTGCGCGCATCCCTGTCTTATTCAACGGGATGTGCGAGGCGGGATGCGCGCAGCCGCCTCTCCGCGAAGGATGCTTGCGCGGGTGTCCGCTCCGCGGCCGCGCCCCCGTGGTCCCCCCCACCGCCCCTCTCCGCGGAGCGGGGCGCGGGGAGAAGGCACGGCCCTCTCTCATTAGGGCCGGCTCGCCCCGGCTCTGCCGCCTTTCCGAACACTAATGCTGTGTAATAAAAGTCCCCTGTTACAGATCATAAAAAAGGGGATTGGATTAGTATGTTTAGGTTTAAAAGAAAAAAAAAAAAAATTCAATCCCCGCATCGCCCTCGGATAAATGCAGCCTCTGCCTTTATATCTGATGAGAATTTACAGCCCCGACTAGTGAACACAGAAGCGGGGCCGCTCCTGGTGTTTGATGCAAAAACCTGATCCAAGCTCCTTCTTACTTATTCATTTTTTTTCTTAGCCCTCAAAAAGCGTTTGAGCCCCCATGATGGAAGCCAGGCAGCCCCAAAATCTTTTTTTCCAGCTTAAAAATCAGCATCCTCCTGCCTTACCGGCTGCACCCGGCCTGCCACCCTCTCCTGCTGCATCCCCCTCGCACCCCCCCGGCTTTTTCCGAGACGCGCGGATCAGTGCGCCCGGCCCCGCGGAGGTTGCGCTCCCTCCGCCGGAGCGGGGTTTGGGGCGGGGGGGGACAGATCTTCGGGCCTTCCCTCCCAGCGCAGAAATGGCGCAACTATTATTAAACACCCGTCTCAAGGATGGAAACTTCGGAGGGAGGGGGGGGGGAATGGATGGCGGAGTCTATTTAAAAAAATAGCAATAATAAAAAGAATCCCGTATAAATAGGAAACGAAAGCCAACATGTTCAAAACCTGTAATATACTCCTCGGAAGGTGCTTCCAGACAGGAATTTCCTGAAAATGAGGGTAATAGTTTTAATTATGGCTCCTAGACATTTTAAAGGAAGGCCCTCATAGCAAATTAAGGTTAGATTTGCAATCTGCAATCTCAGAACATCAAACCAAAACATCTCCACACAGACGGAGAACGAAATTATGTTAATGGTAACTCATATATTAGTTTTATTTGCTTCCTGAAATATTCCACCAATATTAATGCTTCGGCTTTGTTTTGTTTTAAACTCAATTAAGACAATGCTTTCAGATGCATTTCCCCCATTGCAGATGGGTGTTTACTCTTTAAAGGTTTAAAGCAGAATCTCTGTAATCCGATTTGGTCACTCACGGTTTAATTGCCAAGGGAAAAAGAAAAAAAAAAAAAAAAAGTGGCTTTTCGGGACGGCAGGACTGCCCTCCGCGGTTCCCGTTTTCTCCCGGGTTTCTCCCCTTCCCGTGTTCAGCCCACGGTCCCGGGGGGCGGCGGGCTCGGCTGGGGTGTACGGCCACGGCCGAAACCGCTTGGGGAAATGTCTCGGGGGGGCGGGGGGGAAGCAAAAAGGAGGTGGAGAAACCGTGACAGCCCAGGCACGGCTGATCAATACAGCCCGAGCCGCTTCTCTCCGCTCATTCATTGCCAGGAGATTTCACTCATAAATCTCTCTAAGCAACTGCCGACGCTATATATGTATATGTATATATAGATATATATGGTGGCATCGGCTCCGAGGCGTGTAAAGACCAGGCGCCTTCGCCGTACAAGTATGTGTCTACAGCATTTATTGACTTTGGAGTGCAGTCGCTCCCCAGCCCTTGTCCTTCACTTTGCCCATCGGCGGCCTCTGCAAACAGCTGCTCCGCCCGCCCGCGGCCGCGGGAGATGCGCGGCCGGGAGGGGCCGGCACCGATCGCCGCGGGGCCGGGGGCTGAGCCACCCAATCCCGCCGCCGCGATCGCGTCCAGCGGCGGTACACGGGGAGATGAGCACGGTTGCTGGGATTATTGGGAATAACCAGAGCAAGGGGAAGGGCCGCTGGAGCTGCGCCGTTGCTCGGATGGGGAGTTGCTTTAGCGGGGTGAAACCAAGCCGTTTTTTTTTTTTTTCCCCCCCCAACAACCGGCCCCTTCCCAAGCCCTAGCCTCCCCGCTGCCATTTGCGCTGCTCCCCCCCCCACACTTTTCGGGCCCATCCCCAAGCGCGGGGCCGGTGGTCGCAGCCCGCTCCGGGCGGCATCTCTCCCCACCGGGGAGCTGAATTTCTCCCCTCCGATCCGGATCCCCATTTTCATAATTAAAATCAAACCCACAGCAGCTCGCAAACCTCTTCAGCGGCTCCCCAAACAGGCAATAACCCCGAGCCCACCACCCCCATCTCCCCTCCAGTGGGGCCCGGCGCGGAGCCCCGCACTCCCGGGGGGGCTGAGCACCCCTCTTACCCGGACTCGGGGCTCGGTGAGGTTGGTCCACACGGCGATTTCCTCCCTCATGCTCATGTCGGGGTAGCGATTCCGCTGGAAAGTGGCCTCCAGCTCCTGCAACTGCTGGCTGGTGAAGTGGGTTCGCTGCCGCCGCTGCTTCTTCTTCTTCGCCGGGTCGTCGGCGGCCCCGTCTTCGTTTTTCTGCTCGCCACTGCGCTCCTTCTCTGTGGTGGGGTGGCGGGGATTGTTGCGTTTTATTTATTTTGTTTGTTTGTTTAGGTTTTTTTTTGTTGGTGGTGTTGGTGTTTGGGTTGTTGTTTTTTTGTTTTTGTTTTTGTTTTGTTGTTGTTGTTTTTTTCAAACAGAAATACAGACACACAAAGGGCAGGCACGTCGCCCCCGCTCCCAGCCCTGCCCGCCCCGCCGGAGGGACGCGTGGGGGCACCCACGCGGGTCCTTTCGGGCCTTGGCACCCTCTGAACGCCCCGCAGCCAAACTCAGTTTTTCCCAGGGCGTCTGGGGAAGGAACACGGAGCCCACGGGGGCCACGGGAGGCAGCGGGACCCCCAGGGCAGCCCGGCTCGAAGCGGGTCCGTGGGGTGAGAACAATCGGGGGGGAGTGGGCTCCCAGCAGCATCGGCCGCTCTGCCTTTCCACGGCACCTTCTCACTCCCTTCAACCTAAGGCGCGATCTTTGCTCCATTGTCTTTGTTGTGCTCGGCCGCGACAGGAAACTTTGGAAGGGCAGGGGTGTAAAACCCAGCAGCAATTCATTGCAAAATGCACCCTCTTTCTCTGCCTCTCCGCTTCCCCACTTATTTATTTTTTTTCTTTTTTCTTTTTTTTTAATTTTATTTTGCCGCTTTTAGGATTTTAGCATTAATTTTAACCCGAGGCCAAGCGAAATCCTATGCAAAAAATCATATCGAAAGAAGCAAAGCAAAGCAAAAAAAAAAAAAAAAAAAAAAAAAAGCCACGAGCGTTTTCGCGGTTGGGATTTGCGCGGACTGGAAGCAGGAATCCAGCCCCGGCCCCGCCGCAACGGGAGGACAAACCCCCGCTCCCTTTTCGTAGGGGCCTTTCTGGCTCTCCCAGCCCGGGTTTCGGCCGGATTTGTCCCGGTTGAAGCGCTCGGGAAGGGACGAAAAGGCCTGAACGAAACGTGCTCCCGGCCTGGGCCCCGGCGGCAGCGGGGAAAGGTGCGGCCGGGCGCGGGAGGCTGCAGGGCTGGGGACCACGGCCATCCCCGCGGCCTCTGGCCTGCTGCTGCCTAAAGGAAACTCCGCGGGGAATTTTCCCTTTTAGAGGTTTTTTTTTCCCCACACCGTTTTAGAGGGTTTTATGCCGCCGGCAGCGGGCTCGGGGGGCATTTCTATAGCTCCGACCTCTGCGAGGTAAGCGGGAGGCTAAAAATAATCGCGGGCTGCATCCAAAGCCCGGGAGGACTCGTCCTTGCAAAGTCACCCCTGAATCGCTCCTCGCCTGAGCACCCTCCGTTGCAAAAAGGAGGGGAGGAGAGCTCTAAGGGCTCCGTGGAAGCCCCGAAAGGGGCCGATGGCCTTTCCGGAGTTTGCAGAGCAAACAAGGCCTCTGCAGCTCATCCCGCATCTCCACCGGCCCCCCCGAACCCCCCGACCGAGCCGCAAGGCCCGGCGACGGCGGTGTGGAAACAGAAACCAAAATAACCCCCGCAAAGAGAAATCTGCGCGTTTTTGGCTGGGAAGAGCTGGGAGAAACCCGGCCGAGAGGGAGCTGGGGGGCGATAGGAAAGCGGCCGCGGTCGCGGGGGGGTCAGTCCCAGCGGCCCCTCGCCCCGCTCCGGGTTTAACCGGTCCAGGATTTCATTAAAAATCTGGCCTCCGCACTGGGTTGTGATAAATTTTCAAATGATAAGCTACGTCACTTTCAATTGTCTTTTGTACCATATTTTTTTTTTTCCCATTAGAAAAGAAAAAAAAATGTGAAAGGTATTTTGCAGATTCTCGGAGAAGAAAAGAAGGCAGGTCCTCAGCCCTCCTCCAGCACCGAGGGGTCACACACAGGGGTAGGGCAAAATGGAGCAAATCTCTCTCTTTAATCTCAAATAATCCCCTCTAATCTCGGAGTCCCTTCCAGACGCCGGTCCCTAACTTTGTTTGCGAATCAGGCTGGGAGGCACAACTCTGTTTATCACCGAGTGCCACTTCGGGACCGACTCTTGCCATAGCCACTCTCTAGGTTATAGGACCTGCTAAAACTCTTAAGAGCAGCAATGTCTATTAAGAAAAATAAAATTAAATATGGGATAAACTCCCCCTGAAAAGGTCTCGGTGGAGAACGGGTATCACGCTCCTTCCTGCAGCTTTTGTTTCCTCCTCCTAGCTTCCCTTGTCATTCTAGAAATGTTGCCACTTTAATGAAATACAAACTGGGAAACCACAGCTTTCCCTGCAGCCCTTCCACATGGTGGTCAGAGCGTGGGGACCTTTTCCAGTGGGGAAACCTCTCCACGGCCACGTACATCTCCTCCGCAGCGGCCCACGCTGCCTGCGCTCGGCCCCATGCCGCCTCTCCTGCTCTGCGGGGTTTTTCTTTCTTTTTTAATTTTTTTTTCCCCCCTTTTCTTTGACAGAGAGATCTTTTTTCCACCTCTGCACCACCAGAGCTGGAAAATAAACCCGGGCTGAAGCTGATATTATTTCAGAAACATCCAGCAAAACTGCACTCCCCGAAGAGCCCCCCCTTTCTTTTCGACCCTATCAATTAATAACTACGTTTTTAATATATTTTTTTTAAAAAGCAACTCCTGGGATGGGATTGGGGAGCCCTGTGTGTCCTCCCAGCGGGCTGTCAGCTCCGGGCGGGCCCCCGCCCCCCGCTTCGCTTCCCGGGGTTCACTCGGGATGGAGCCACCGGGATCACCGGCACCTCTTCCCTCCCCCCGCCCCCCCCCGTGTCCTCGTCCCCCCCCATCGCCTCTGGTTGTGAGGGGGGTGCGGGCAAAACCCCACCGACCGCCCCGCGAAGGGAAGGCGAGGTGGGGAGGGGGGAGGCGGCGTGGGGGGTAGCGGGCCGGGGCCGCGGGTGGTGGTGGGGGGTGTGAGGTGGAGGGGGTGGGTTACCTGGCGCCTCCGTGTCGGAGGATTCACTGGCTGAGTTCTCGATCGGGTCTCTGGGTTCCGAGGATCTTTGCAAATGGAAGCTGGAAGCCATGTCATGGGAGGGTTGGGGTCTCAAGCTCTCGGGCAGTCTCTCCAAATTCATTCCACCTTTAAAGGAATCCATGGCAGGGGCGCCGGGCTGCCTGGGGGAGTTTGCAGGTGTTTATTCCACACAGAAAGGAACAAGGAGCTTTGCTTTTTTTTTTTTTTTTTTTTTTTTCAAAAAAAAAAAAAAGGAAAAAAAAAGCAACCAAACAAAAACAAAAACAAAAGCAAATCCACTTATTACTAACAGTATTATTTTAAGGGTGTCGGAAAAAGAGATCTGGGCAGTGCCTCGAAGCCGGTTGCCTCTGCTCGGGGAGAGGCACGGCAGTCCGGCCGCATAGGCAGGGAAGTGGTAAAGATCCCTTATAGAGAAACGCGAGTTGCGAGTTGGACAGTTTAAAGCTAAAGAGATTAAAGTGACCTGCCCTAGAACAAATGCCTGTAGTTAAACGGGGCTCCTCCCCCTGAAGGTTAAAACCTCCCCGTCTCGCTAATGCATCACTCCATCTAGCGCTCGCCCAGCCCGGCCGCGCAGGCGGACCTTCCTCCGCGCTCCCCGCCGATGTGCGCGCCTTACGCGGCCGCGGCCAGGCCCGCGGCCCCCCGCTGGGCCCCTGCCCGGCCCCCGCCGCCCGGCTGGGTCTCCTCCGCGGTGCCCCCCCCTCCGCTCCCCCTCCCCCGCGGCTTCCTCCCAAACTCGGTGAGGTATTAAAAATATTTCAGAAACGAATGGCAAGGTGGAAAATCGCTCACAGTGGCGCGGGGGGAGACTCGGGACCTCCCGCCCGCCCTCAGCACCCCGCCAGCCCACCCTCCTCCGCAGCGTCCTGCCAACCGCCAGCGCGCAGGTTGAGCCCCCCGCGCAGCACGGCATCTCCGCGGGTATCCCCGTACCCAGCCCGGCTGGGCCTCCCGACCCGCGGAACCTCCGCTCCCCACGCCCTGCGGTGAACGCCGCACCCTGCGCACCTCTCAGCATCCCTGCGCGGGGCTGCGCGGCCCGGCCTGGCGCGAAGCGACCCCACTGCGAATTTCAGTCCCGCGGGGAACACGTTCATCCCAGCGGGAGGGGATTTCTTGGAGGGGACGGTGGCCTTCTCCTGGGACGTTGTGTCTGAACTGTTTTTATTCTTTTTTAACATTTTTTTTCCTGGCTGAGGGGTTTCTAAGCAAGCGGCTCGGGCCCTGCCCGGCGGCAGGGGAACCGCAGCTCGGGGAACCGCGGCAGCTCCAACGCTCCCATCACCTCATCTTTCAGCTCATGATTAATAACAAATAATTTTCCTCCCGCAGCCGAACTCGCGGTGACCCTCTGGAGGGGTGGCTGCGGCTCTGCCAGCCCGGGACCAGGACAACCGGCGGGGAGGGGGCTGGAGAACACCCCCGCCCCCCTTCCTCCTGCAGCGGGTACCGGTGCGCGCAGTGCCGGGGCGGGTGGAGCGGGGCCGGTTCCCGGGGGCTGCCCACGCAGGCCGGGACACGGCCTTGAGCCCTCCCGGAGGACACCTCGGTGTTTGGGGAGGTGGGAAAAAAAAAACCCACGGGAAGCCCTCAGCCTTCGGGGGGCAGGTGGGAAGCTGGGGTCGCGGCGGGGCCGGCGGGGGGATGCTCGCTGCACCGGGGAAGGGGGCGAGGGGAAGGGGGAGAAGGACCCTGGCTGTAACTCCGCCTGGGGAAAGGACCTTCTCTCCTCTTTATTTTCTCGGCTCACTTTAACTGATCCATCCTGACACTCTATTTTGTTTTCAAATCAAGTAAAGATGTGGGAGAGAACTTTTGAACTGGTTTATGGAAAAGTGGAGGAAAGCAATGTTCCAGCCGCGCAGGCTTTTTCCTACACCGCCGGGGTGATGCAGCCGGGCCCGCCCCGCGCCCCCCGGCAGCTCCACGCAGGGCCCCCTCCCGTGGGCCCGAGGAGAACACAGAGCTCCCAGCCCCAACCCCCGCACCTCCGATCTCCAGCGCCTTTTGCAGTTTAGGGGATGTACAGGTGGGTGCTGTCAAGGTCAGGTCTCTCTAGCTCTCTTTTTTTTCTCCACTCCCTCCCCCCACCTTTTTTTTTTTTTTTTAAGTGTCATATTGATGTCCCTCTGTCTGTCCGTCGCTCCCGGCTGAACTTCGCTCAGGAGTCTTCAAACGAGGGGGAATTTCGGGCACTCGAGGTGAACCAGGCAATCTCGGGGCTGCTAAAGATGGACGTGGTTTAAAATGCAAATATTTACCAGGGCCTCTGGGCTTTGAGGGGCTCTGCTGGTGCAGAAGCCCACGGCACGGGAAGGATGGAGATGTCCTCCCGGGGGAGAAGAGAGTGGTGGGGGTGGCCTTTCTCCCAAGGAGGAGGAAGGTGACCGGGTTGCAAACGTGCACCGTGCTTGAGACCCTTCACAGTCCCTTTTTTTTTTTTTGCCTTTATTTCCGAGTCAGGCGGCAGCCCCGGGTCAGGTCTCAGCGGGAGCGGGATGGAGCCCGGTGGGCCGTGCAGGGGGGGGCTGCCAACCCGCCCTGCTCCGCTCCGGCTATTTTAAACCTACAGCCTCAAAACCAGAGTTGGGATTTTTCTTTATTTATTTTTCTGTTTTTTTTTTTTTTTTTTTTTTAATTATTATTATTTTTAGTTTTTTGTTTTGTTTTGTTTTGTTTTTTAATGTGCCTAATTTACAGTTTTTGTTCTGCTCTATAAAATCCAATTTTAAAAAATTCGTTCTAGCCTTAATTCCTCCCGGCTGGGAGCGGGGAAAGGCTCAGCCCAGGGTACCGGCGGGACTTCACCAAAACGGGGGCCGCGATAACGCCAGGACCAGCTGCCTCCCGGGCCCACGGCCCCCCCGGTTCCTTCTGGGGGTTCCCCGGGGCAGACACCCCCCGATACCGGCATTAAATAGGGAGTAGCGGGCCGGCCCTGACGCTCCCGGCCCTCGGGAGGCGGAGCAGCGCCCGGCTCCCTCCTGCCCTCTCCCACGCGTGTCCGCGCCCGGGCCATGGCGCGGGTCAGGTGTTTACCTCACACCTGTGCACGGGTGGGCAGTCTCAGGCGGGTGGATATATATATATATATATATATATGTATGTCTTCTGTATGTCTCGTATATGTCTGACGTGGATTTGGTGAGCGGGCTCACTCCTACCGCACGGACCCAAATCCGCCTGGTTCTTCCCGTTGCAGGTCGCGACAACACGTGTCGCGACAAGAGAGCCCGCCCGCGGGGCAGTCACCCCTCCAATTTGTGCTTTTTCTCCTCTCCCCCACACCGGGCCCGCTCCGTTTCGGGATGTCAGGGGCACCTCTCAGCCGGCAACCCCCTTCCAGCAGGCGCTACGTCACTGGTCCATCCGCGTGACGTTATGCTTTGCTTCCCTGACGTCACGCCTCACCTTGCAGCCAGGCCAGGACCCAAGGCATGGCTTTTTGACCCGATCGGTGCCGGCGGCTTTTCTCGTGAGGTGAAGACGGGCCGGCGGCGCCACGGGCAGGGCAGGACTGTGGCCCCGGGCTGGGGCTCTCCCCTTCCCCCGCCACCTCCTCGGGCTCTCCGGGAGCCGGAGGGAGCTGCGGGGAGGGAGGAGAGGCCACAGCAGATGAGCGCAGCCCGGCCGTGGGGACCCCGGTTAACCGCCTGGCCCCCTCTGGGGAGCCGCGACCTCCGTGGGCGTGGGAAGGGCCACGACCCGCGCAGCTACGGCACCCCGAGGCTCCCCCTGGCTGGGGGTTCATCAGGGATCTGGAAGCCTGCAAATAAACTGCTCCGCTTCCTCCTGCTATAAATAACCCCAGAACGAGGGATGGCGCTTATAAATAAATCAGAGCTGGCCATGCCGGTGACAACTCCTTGAAGAAGAGGATGAGACACGTCTGAACGAGAGCACGACTCCCACTGCCCCTCCGAGGGGTGGACCGACCCCCCCCGAGGGCACGGGGGGACGGGGATGTGTCAACACCCTGGAGCTGGGGAGGGGTCCCTGGTTTTGGAGAGGAGCTCCTATCCCCGACAGTCTGAGGCGATGGTGGCCAACACAAAACCACCTGGGCTGTATATCAGGTGGCGAAGTTCAGTCTCTGCCAGTTTTTCCTCTTCAGATTTATTAGTGTTGTAGAGACTGAGATTCAGTCTATAAATTATTGGGAATTGTTACAAAAATGAAGGCATCACCTCCCAGCTGCACCTCTGCCCAAGAGGAGAGGGGACACCTCTGAAAAATAGAGCTGAAGTAAGGCAAGAGAGGAGGGAGAGACTCCCCAACCCAACCAAAACCAATGCAACCAAACCCAACCCAACCCAACCAAGACAAACCAAACCCAACCATGACAAACCAAACCCAACCAAGACAAACCAAACCCAACCGTGACAAACCAAACCTAGCCATGACAAACCAAACCCAGCCACGACAAACCAAACCCAGCCATGACAAACCAAACCCAGCCACGGCAAACCAAACCCAGCCACGACAAACCAAACCCAACCACGACAAACCAAACCCAGCCACGACAAACCAAACCCAGCCACGACAAACCAAACCCAGCCACGACAAACCAAACCCAGCCACGACAAACCAAACCTAGACATGACAAACCAAACCCAGCCATGACAAACCAAACCCAACCGTGACAAACCAAACCCAGCCACGACAAACCAAACCCAGCCATGACAAACCAAACCCAGCCACAACAAAACAAACCCAACCAAGCGAAACAAAACCACAGCCGCTGCAACCAAAACAAGCCAAGCCAAACCCAAAGAAAGCAATCCTAGCCAAACCGAGCCTAAGGCAAGCCAGCCAACCTTGGTGCCCCCTTTGCAGACACCAGCAGCCGTGGAAAAAGAACTTTTAATAACAAAACTCTTCTAAAAGTGCCCAGCGGGTGGTGAAGGGGCATCAGTGGGGCGGTGAGACCGGCAGGGAGGGCGCAGGTCTGCTTTGGGGAGAGCCAGCAGCCCTGCGGAAACACGCAGGGGCATTTTTAAAGCTTCCTTCTATGAAAATGTCCCCCGCACGGGTGGATGAGTGGTTTACGGCCTCCAGCCCTGGCTCCCGGCCTTTGTTGATGCGTGGTTCTGACCCACGGGATGCCCAAGCGGGTTGGGAAGAAGCAGAGGCCGGGGATGCGCGCAGGCGTGTGGGCAGGGCAGCGCGGCGCTCCGCGGGGCACGGACCGCACTGGGAGGGATGGGGGGTGTGTGTGGGGTGTTTGTTTTTGCAGTGTACCGGGGCGGGGGGGAGGGGGGGGAGAGGGGGGAGGGATGTCCGTCGGGGCAATGTCCCGGGGGTGTCCTGCCTCAAAACAGCATCACCCCAAACACCACTTTACGCGCAAGGTGAAAACCCAGGTGTACGCCCCCGCGCAAGGCAAAGCTCAACATTCCCC